GGGATTTCATGTGCTCACCACCACATCCAACTAATTTTTGTATTTTTAGTAGAGATGGGGTTTTACCATGTTGGCCAGGCTGGTCTCGAACACCTGACCTCATGTGATCTGCTCGCCTTGGCCTCCCAAAGTGCCGGGATTACAGGTGTGAGCCACAGCGCCCGGCCAGTTTTAGCATCTAAAGGTGTGAAGTTTCAGGAAACATTCTAATCCGTAACCCCCTGCCTCCAGCCGTGGATGCCAGACAAGAACAGGTGAGACCCGAGTGTGTGGTGCCTGCCACGGGTTGACCTGCAGCCTCCAAAAAAGAAGTGTACAAGTCCCAACCCCTAAAACCTCCATGGGGTACCTTATTTGGGAATGGAGACATTGCAGAGGCAATTGGTTTAGTAGAGGCCATCCTGGAGTGGGGGGCCCTCATCCAATGTGCCCCCACAAACCATCCTTACAGGAAGGGGAGTTAGAGATGCGGGCACTCGGGGTGGGGACGGGAGACCTGTAGCCCCAGACCCTAGGACCCGAGGGTGGGCAGCATCAGGAGGGTGGGGGGGCTCCCCTTGGGCCCTCAGAGGGAGATTGGCTGGTCCTGATTTTGGGCGTCCAGCCTCTAGAATGAGAAGACAAGTGTCTGTTGCGTTAAGCCCTGAAGGCTGTGGGCTTTCTTGCTGCAGCCACAGGATGGGGACATGGGCATAACAGGACCGCTGCCCGTTACCCTCAAGCTAGCCCAGCCCAGCCAGCCGCTGACGCACCTTTGCCAAAACCAACCCGGCCACCCCCAGCCGTGGGTATGATTGTCCCCCTTTTCAGGGGAGAAAGAAGAGGCCCAAGCAGTTAGGTGAGTGGCCCAAGGCCCAGAGACAGGACTTGAGCACAGAGACCCCACAGGGCCTGGTCCAGGCAGCACCCACCTCTTCAGGCAGGATGCCCATGCCCCTTAACAGGCCTGGCCTCACGGGGCCCCAGGAGCATCCCTGTTGAAGGAGGGAATGAATGAATGAATGAATGTTCTCTTTTCCCACCCTGCAGCTCTAGCCCCACCTCCTCCAGGAAGCCCCCTAGGCCTGCCCTAGCATACATGGTATTAGACTGGTCTCACCTGTGTCAGGCAGCTGGGGAGGGGGTTGGGAGAGCTTGACCAAGCCTGGGGAGCCTGCTCTGGCACTTGAGGTCCATGAGGTGGTTGTCCTAGATGGGGTGCCCTGGGGTGGTCCCTGTATTTGTGTGGGGGCTCCCCTCAGTGCCCCGAGGGGAAGCCCGGTGCTACATCCCAGAATGGAGGCCAGCCCGTCTGTGGGTGGCTGTGCCCCAGGTGGCACCTCCTGCTGTTGGCTCTGACAGGCTTGGAGCAGTGCAGGGGTGCCATGTGGAGTCCTCCATCAACCTCCAGCCCTCCAGGACCCGTGCCGGGTCTGTCATTAGCCTTCAGCCCTCAGCACTGGCTCCCAGGCAGCCAGGGACTCCCCAGAGCTCCCGGGTCACCAACCCAGGCTTCACGGAGGCCCAGGCCTCATCTCTGACTTCTGACCCCTGACCCCAGCCTGCATGAAGCCCTGCATTTGACTGGACTTTTGCTGGCCTCTGTCAAGCTGTTGGCCATGCAGTCACAGGAGGATCCGAGCAGGCCACCCTTTCGGACAACCTGGCTGGGGCCTCTGGTGGTCCCACCCTCCACTGCCATCCCCGGTGGAGCTGGGCCCCCGCTCCTCCCCTGTCTGGAGACCTGGCAGTGGAGCCCCTCTGTCCAGGCCCAGCAAGCTGGGATCCCGCCTGTCCAGCGTCCACCACTGCCTCTGCCCAGTATATCACTGTTAATGTCACCGACGTGCTAACAGCCCACTCTATGATAATGCATAATACAAACTCAAAAATTAATTGTCTCACCTTCAAAAGCGTCTTTAACTGCTCCTGAGAGGAAATATGGATAATAACCATAATTTTAATGCCGATTCTTATTAGAAGGTCACGTTTGACCAATTTTTTTTTTTTTTTTTTTTGGAAACAGTGTCGCTCTTGATGCCCGGGCTGGAGTGCCATCTCGGCCCACTGCAACCTCTGTCTCCCAAATTCAAGAGATTCTCCTGCCTCAGCCTCCCAAGTAGCTGGGATTACAGAGGCCCGCCACTACGCCAGGCTAATTTTGTGTATTTTTAATAGAGACCGGGTTTCACCGTGTTGGTCAGACCGATCACGAACTCCTGACCTCAGATGATCCCCCTGCCTGAGCCTCCCAAAGTGCTGGGATTACAGGTGTGAACCACCTCGCCCAGCCCCTTCTGGCATTTTTAAAATCAGGGCTAAAGCACCGGGGAGAGCATCCAGGACCTGAGCATCTGATAGATTTTTCCCAGATGATGAGCACACCCCTCCCTGAGTGGGGAGTCTCCCTGGGTTGGAAGCCTGTGGCCAGCTTTGGAATTCACAGAGTCCCTCAGAGCCTCAGGGGCTGCTCCCCAGAGATCTAGCTCACAAACCAGGTGTCCAGGAAGGTGCCTCCGGGGCACTGCTTCCCGGGAACAGGCAGGGGCCCAGACAGTCAGGAGGCGTTGCAGAGGCCGTCAAGGTGTTCCTGTCCCCATAGTGCATGGCCTGGTGGGGCTCGCTTGGGCAGGGGCTCCTGGAGACAGGCTAGCAGGCTGCTGGTTCTAGCCCATTCAACAGAACCTCGCCTCTAAGAGGTAGGGGAAGGCAGGGGATCATCACCCGCTCCTGATAGACAAGCCGAGGCACAAGCGGGACTCCTAAGAGGAGGTGCCTGGAGACGCCTTCAGTCTTCATGTATCCCTGTGTGTGTGTGTGCAGGTGTGTTAGGGTACAAGAGTGAACATGGCACCTGAGAGTCTTCCAAATCTGCTCAGTCTCTGCCCAAGGCAGTTGGGCCAGGCTTGCTGTAAAACAAGCCCCGGGTTGGGCCAAGCAGCTGCCCTTCCTGGAGCTCTGCTTGGCAGCCCCCAAGGCAGTGGGAGAACCCCAGAGCCACCTCCACGTCCATAGTGTGTGGTAAGAAAGTGGAGGCTGAGGGTCCCCAGCACGAGGCGTGGGAGCTGGGCCCCTTCCTCCAGGTCCCTGGGGGAGGTAGGTGCACCTCCCTGCGCCAGGAGGTAGGTTCCCTGGGCAGCTCTGTCCCGGCTGCTTGCAGGCCCCTCGCTTCAGCAGGTTGATTCTCAGTGCCCAGAGAACAACAAATCACTCTCTGACAATAATGGGTATGAACAGACACTTAATTATGAGGCCACAAGACAGCACGATTATTAATTTTAAATTGTGGAGCCCAGTCCTGAAGGCTGAGCCTGGAGGGGTATCCCAGGGGCTCAGGGGAGCCAGAGGGCTGGCTGGGGCTTGGAGACTCAGCTGTGCACTGGACGTTGGGGGCACAGGACCCTGAGGCTGGGGGACTCTTGGGTGGCCCGGACCCTCCCCTCTCCCAGCAGAGGCTTAGGGAGACAGGTCTGCAGAGCCTGGCGTGGTCTGGGCTACAGGCTATCTCCAGTGGGCTGATGGGGTGTGCATGGGGCCAGGGCTGTGGACCCCCCTGAGGCTGCTCTGCCAGCATGCTCTAGGGCTGATGTGGGTGTGTCTGTGCCTCTCCTCACAGCCACTGGGGCCAATTCCGACACAGTGGGCCCACGTGGGGGTGACCTAACGCTTCCCAAAGCAGTGTGCGGGGGGCCTTTACTCTGTGCCTGGCTGGGACCCAAGCCCATGACCACTCTCCTAGCCAGAGTAGGTGCTGGTGGTCACTGTCTGCTGGGCAGGGCACCTCAGAGGAACTGCAGGGACCCCAAACGCAGAGCAGATGCCAGGTCCCTGAAGAGCCACAATCCAGACACGCAGGCACCAGCTTCTGTATGGAGGCTCAAGGTGCAAAGCTCGGGCACCGGTGCAGGGCTGACCTTGAAAGGTGACAGGGTGGCCTGTCCGCAAGGCTCAGTGACACTTGTGCTCCTTTCCAGGGCTCCTCAACTCCTCCCAAATTTCCCATCTCCCAACATTCTTTCATCTCTAGCCACAGGGGTTCTGGATTTCCTCATGGTCCATGGAGACTGGGGGCTGCAGAGGCAGCTGCGGGGGGCAGCATGGGGGACACAGCCCTGGACAGAATGGGAACACGACAGGGCCTGGAGCCCTGGGGAAGGCTGCAAGGCTGAGTGCAGCCCAGGGATAGACTCCGGCTGGCTCCTGTGGGAGGCCAGCAAGCAGCCCGGTGCCAGGCCAGGCAGCTTGTGCGACCGACTGCGCAGCAAGCTGTCAGTGCTGGCGGCACTTGGCAGGCGGCGGCGGGAAGGGGATGTTTGCAGACTGCCGCCGACAGCTTCCCGGCTGAAACCTCCCTGCTTAGAATACGCAGAAGTGAGCAGTGCCTGCAGGCGGGTCCCGGAGGGGCGAGAGGCGGCAGAGGGGCTGCGGGGCTGCTGGGCCCTTCTGGGTCCTCCCCCGAGGCCTGCCCACCCGCTCTAGGCCAGGCCTTGGCCCTGGATCCAAGCCAGCACCTCACACCCTCAGGCTCCTGGACTCCGGACTCTGGGGCAGTGGTGATGGACACCAGGGGAGAATGTGGGGGGCGGGGCTCTGTGGGAGGGGGCCTCAGACCCCTCTCATGAGAAGCCCTTCTTTGTTATCCCAGGTGGGCTGCAGAGCGGGGGTAGGCCAAAGAACACCCCCTACCCATTTAGGGTAAATTCCTTCCCCAGGAGCTGTGGGAGCACCTGCAGGCAAAGACGGGGCAGGTACTGTGGTGCTGGTGCCACTTGTCAACTGTGACTGTTTTTTAATTCAGGAAACACACCCACAAAGCATGCACGGAGCTGTTTTGTGGTGCAGATGGCACTGCCGGTCACCTCGGAGGGTGGCATGGGGAGCAGAGAGCCAGCACCAGAGCCACCCTCTCAGTCTCTGGCCCCTGCAGGTGCAGCAGCTCCCCAGCCTGCCCTCTCCACACCCTCCCCTCTCCACACCCCTCTTTGGCCCCTCCCCTCCTGCCCTGCCCTCCTCTCCCTTCCCTCTCTCCTCTCTTCTCCCCTGCCTTGAGGTCAGTCATCATCACCCTGTCCTGTTTGATCTCCCCAAGAACCCAGAGATGCCGCATACAGAGGCCTGTCCTCCTCCCTCGTCCTGCCAGTTTCGGGGCGCCCCTGTATGGGGGGCCCTCTCTGCTGTGCGCCTCTGCCTGGTGGCAGGGGCCCCCCCACCGCTTCCCCAAGCTCCCATGTCAGGGCACAGACCTCAGCCCTGGGATCCGCCTGGGGTGGAGGCAGGCCACTGCCACCTCCCAGGGTTTTCGTCCAGCCTCTTTGGTGGCCTGTGCCTGTGATTCTGGTAGGGTCTGGACATGCAGGTCCCTCTGTTCTGGGCATTCTGGGCCTCCTTCTCCTGTGTTCCCCGTGACTCCACGCGCTGCCACCATTCCCTGAGAAAAGCAGGGAGAGGTGTCATCTGCCACTGTCACTGGAAGACAAGTTTTCAGGCCAGCACTGCCCTCTCCCTTTATAAACCAGGAAATGGAGGCTCCGGGAGCCAGTGACATCCAGCTCTTGGGCCGTGATGGGCAGGGATGCAGGGGCAGCTTGATGCCCAACCCAGGAGGACGGCAGGGCAGGCACAGTCCTGAGCCCCTGTGTGCAAAGCAAGTGGAAGACACCCATCTCAAAACACGAGTCCAGGCCACCGTGGCTCACCCCTGTAATTCCAGCACTTTGGGAGGCTGAGGTGGGCAGATTGCTTGAGCTCAGGAGTTTGGGACCAGGCCAGGTAACATAGTGAGACCCCCATCTCTACCAAATAAATTTGTAAAAATTAGCTGGGTGTGGTAGAGCACACCTGTGGTCTCAGCTACTTGGGAGGCTAAGTTGGGAGAATCGCTTGAGTTCCAGAGGCGGAGGCTGGGGCGAGCTGGGAGATGGAGCCACTGCACCAGCCTGGGCGACAGAGTAAGACCCTGTCCGAAAGTATAAATAAAGGACAAACAAACAGGAGTTCTTGGAAAACAGGACGGGGGCTGTCAACGAGGACGTCTTTGGAGTTGGGAGTGCATTGTCACATGAATAAGCGTCACCAGCAACATCCTGTACGAAGAGACTCCTTCCTGGGGCGGCCAGGACAAAAGGGAAGGTGTTCTCAGGAGAGGGACCAGGGTGGCCAAGGCTGCAAGGCAGAGACCAGGGGGAGGACCAGGCAGGATGGGGGGTAGTTCTGGAGGGGAGCAGAGCTGGTGGGGAGACCCCATGGGGTAAGGGAAGCTCACCAGAAAAGCACAGAACACCCACCTAAGTTTTGATTTCAAATAAACAGTTTTTAAAATACAAATATATCCCCAAATTGGATGGGACATATACTAGAAATTGATTTGTGGTTAATATGAAATGTGAATTTCATTAGGTGTTAAGTATTTTTATATGTTCCCCCTAGCTTCCCTAGCCAGGGGCTGAGGGACAGACCCTTGGAGCTCAACTGGTCACAGGGGAGACCCCCCATCACGGCTCACCCCTGCCCTGGGGGTCCTGATGTTCTCACAGAGGGCAGCACCTCCCTCTGGGCTCTCTTGGCTCCTTCATCCCAAGGTCCTGTCTTGGAGGTGACAAAGAGGTTCAGAGGAAAGCGCTGAGCCTGGCCCCAGGCCAGTGCCCCTTCCGGGAGGAAAGCAGGGCTTTACCTGGTTGAGGGGTCTCTGGCCTCTGCAGGTGGCAGGTGGCTCCTGGCGAGGCGCTCCACAGGCCCCAGACACATCTAGCACCCCAGCCTCCGGCCCAGGCTAGGGTGTCCTTGCCTTGCTGGGCACCTGCAGGGCCTTGGGCCAGGCACAGAGAAGCCGTGCGGCTCCTGGGGCAGCCCAGCCCTCGGGCAGGCCACCAGCCACACTGAGGCTTCTCCACTCCCAGGATCGGGTGATAAATGTCTGCCAAGCAGCGATTACGAACAACGCAGCGGGTTACAGGAACTGCGGCCGGCCAGGAGGGCGGGCGTGGCTCTGCTGGCAGCTGCGAGGGCGAGGGCTTCGTCCGGTCTGGAGACTTGACGGCCCCCGCCCTTCTTTTTCTGGAGGAACAAAAAGACCAGATTTATCACGGCCATAAGAGAGGGTTTGAACACTTAGCAGCTTCCAGCCCCTGGTTTGAGGGGAAGTTGGGGTGGTGGGGGCTGAGATGGGCTGGGCTCTGGGAAATGGAGCTGGCCTTCGGGAAGTGGGGGCTGGCCAGCTCCCGGAATCCCCGCTTCCCGAGCTGCCCCACCCACCAGGAGCACCAGGAGGCTGCTGCTGGGGGAGGGGCTGTGGCTGTGAAGTACCCCGCCCCCTTTCCCCACTGCCCTCGCCCGGAGGCTTTTCTCTTGTGAGACATGGAAGAAGCCCCAACCTGGACCTGCTGGGAGAGGCTGGGGATTTAGGCCTCAAGCTTGTCCCTGAGGCCCGGGGTGTCCAGTGGCAGCAGGCTCCGCTCCCAGGCCCAGGCTCCACCCTACAGATGGGTGTGACCTCGAAGAACCGGGTCCCTCTCCCAGCCAGTCCAATAGACTCAGGGAGAGGAGCATCACACACAGTTTGGGGGGGTAGGGGAGAGACAATGGGAGATGGGGAGGGAGCGGAAGGTGGGGAGGGATAACATGGGGAGAAATGCCAGATATAGTATGCGCCTAAAGTAAAATAAATAAATTTTTTTAAAAATCAATATTATTTATAAAAGTAATACTGTGTATTAAGTAATTAATACAGTATTAAAGTCTCATTAAAAAAAAAGAGCAGACTGGGCCACATGGCTCCTCCCCTCTGAGCTTTGCTTTCCTTTCCTGCAAAATAGACAAAACCGGAGGCTTCCGATGGGTTCTGGGGCATCTGCCAGGCCACCAAGGACAGCTCCAGGCCGTGGGGGCTCAGCCCTGAGCAGCCATGGTGATGCTCCCCTCCTCGCTGGCCTCCTGGGCCCTGAGGAAGGAGCGGAGGAGCAGGCCTTGGAGCAGGAGGGTGTGGGCCTTGGGGGCTTTGCTGGAGAAGCTGCCACCTCCCCCACCACGTTGTCCGTGGATATCCCACCATCGGTGCTATAGGTGATCAGACTCCAGTATTCAAAAATAATCAGTGGGCCTGATTTCCAAACAATAACTGTCTTATTAAATCTAAATTTAATGTGTATTTGGAATCCTTAATTTAAAGTGTTACTGTGCCCACCATCTGCTCCGCTCTCTAAATGCAAAAGCAGCCAGCACATAACTCAGGGCGGCAGCGGAGAAGCGCGTGCCACTCCTGCGGCTGCAGGTCCGGCTTGTCTGGCTGCTCTCTATGGGCGGCAGCTCCCAGACACTGCAGAGCTAGGTGGGAGACGAGTCTGCTCCTGACCCAGCACTCGAGGCTGCAGGAGCTCCGTGTCGGCCTGGCCCTCCTCCCCTCGGTGGGGCTGCAGCAGGCCGGGGCTCTGAGCATCCCACCTGGGTTCAGGCCATGCCTCCGCCTGCCCGCCCTTCCCTCCTGAGTCCTGGACACCCTGCAGAGCCTGCTCCTCGGCATCTCCAGTGTGAAGACTTCCCCTGACATCCTAACCACCGCCCTCTGCCTCCTCCCTGATCTGACAGGAGCCAGGGCTGAGAGGTGACCCCCGGAGTTCCTTCCCTGTGAACTCACTGGTACCTATGGCTGCTTCGGCAGGGACCCTCACCCTGCACCCTGGACTCTGAGCTACCAGCCCTGGGTGCTTAGAGAAATGCTCTGACTCAAAATGCTTCCCCAAGCATCATTGCGGCCTGGGACAGCTCCCTTGCCTTCTCTGTAAAGGGGCCACGGGGCTGCAAGGGCCCAGGAGGGGTCAGCCCAGCATCTTTGTCTGATAGCTTGAAAGGGCAGGGGTCTTCGGGCTCTCCTCCCTGCCTGCTGGCTGGCTGCCAACCCCACCATCTGTGGCCCCTCCTGGCTGAGACCACCCCTGACCTGGGAGGGAGGGCAGGCGGCCCTGCCTGGGCCCAGAGTACCCAGGGACAGCCACTCCTCTACCAGGGAGCCCTTGGCCTTGGGCCAGCTCCTGACACCCCAGCTCCTCCCTGTGACCAACAACGTTCCTGTCACCCTGGCTCCCCCTGTGACCAATAACGTCCCGTGGGCTGGACTCTCAGTCCAGGCTAACCCCTCACCATGCCATCCTCTGCAGGATGAATTTGAAGATCTGGGAGGTGGTGCCCCTGAGCCTCTTCACCATGGAGGTAAACGGAGCTGGGGCAGAGCCACGGCTCATCCCTGTGCTGGGGCCACCGCCCACCTGCCCATGTGCAAGCCCAGGCATGCCAGATCCCACTCAAAGCCAGCCCTGCTGAGGGCACCCGGCCCAGCTGAGCCTCCCAGCACCAGGTCCCGACACAGGATGGGGTGGGGGGAGGGGCACAGCTGCAGCGGCCTGATTCATTTTCCATCTCAGCTCTGCCAGTCACTAGCCGTGAGGTGTGTTTTTAGCTTTTTTTTTCTTTTGAGTTGGAGTTTCGCTCTTGTTACCCAGGCTGGAGTGCAATGGTGCCATCTCGGCTCACCGCAACCTCTGCCTCCTGGGTTCAGGCAATTCTCCTGCCTCAGCCTCCCGAGTAGCTGGGATTACAGGCACGCGCCACCATGCCCAGCTAATTTTTGTATTTTTAGTAGAGACAGGGTTTCACCATGTTGACCAGGATGGTCTGGATCTCTTGACCTTGTGATCCACCCGCCTCGGCCTCCCAAAGTGCTGGGATTACAGGCGAGAGCCACCATGCCCAGCCGTGTTTTTAGCTTTTTAAAAATTGTGGTAAAATACACAAAATACACTTTATCATTGTAACCATTGCAAACTGTATAATCCAGTGGCATTCAGTACATTCATAATATTATTGTACAACGTACACCACTATCTAGTTCCAGAATCCTCCCCAAAAGGAAAGCCTGACCCCATTCAGCAGCCACCCCCACACCTCCCTGCTGCCCTCTGCCTGCTCCTGGCAAGCCCTCCCCACTATCCGTTTTCCAGCTACCCCCGCAGCTCCCTGGCCGAGGCCCCCAGGTCCTGGCCGCCCCGTCCAGCGTCTGTCTCTGCCGAGTTGTCTGCTCGGGGCCTCGTATCAGTGGAGTCAGCCCTGTCTTCTGTGAGGTTTCCCCTCACTTAGCCGCATGTTTCCAAGGGTCGTCTCCGCTGTGGCTGTCAACATGCGTGCACACGCTGGGATTACTCTCCGATCTCGGCTGTCTCTGGGCTGTCTCAGGTGCACAGCCCGGAGGTTTTTGTTTTTGTTTTTTTTTTGACAGAGTCTTGCTCTGTCGCCCAGGCTGGAGTGCAATGGCGTGATCTCGGCTCACTACAACTTCTACCTCCCTATTCAAGCAATTCTCCTGCCTCAGCCTCCTGAGTAGCTGGGATTACAGGCGCATAGCACCATGCCCAGCTGATTTTTGTATTTTTAGTAGAGACAGAGTTTCACCATGTTGGTCAGGCTGGTCTTGATCTCCTGACCTCGTGATCCGCCCGCCTCAGCCTCCCAAAGTGCTGGGCTTACAGGCGTGAGTCACTGCACCTGGCCCTGTGTTTAACTTCTTGAGCCCTGTTTCCACTGGGTCTGAGTGTACCATTTGCCATCTTCACTGACCATGAGCTTTTGAGTCTCTGGAAGACACATGTTCTGGTCTGCAGCATGAGAGGAAGCACAAGGGAGGGATGGGGTTCACTTTGCCAAGGGCATGTCCCGGCTCTGTCACTGTGGTGACCCACAAGCCTGCTCTGCCGCCTGCATGTGCTGGCACCCAGTGAGCAGGGCCAAAGGGACTCTGATGGACGGCTGAGGGCACTTCCAGCCCCAGGGCTCTGCTGAGCTGTTCGAGCCCATGCTGGGCCGTCACGCCTGTCTTGACTTTGCAGCAGCAGCTGGTCTGACCTGATGCTCCAGGTGGATACTTCATTCTTGGCTCAGCCCATGAAAATCATGAAAATTGCAGGTTCTGTGGGACATCTGCAATGTATCAGCCACTGAGTTCGGTTCACACAGTAGCTTCTCAATAAATACTGAACGGATGAGTGGTTTCTAATTTCTGTGACATAGCTGTAGGTTGGCAATTGTTACCCTATTTTACAAAATCTTAGATAAGTTAAGTGACTCTGAAATCTCCCGGACAGGAGATGGAGCTGGGACCTGGTCTCAGGCCCACCTGGCTCCCTACTGCTAGGCCACCATGCACATGTGTGCAGGTTGCTCACTGCACAAGGGCAGTCAGCTGAAGGGGAGGAAGGGGCGAATCTCTAGTCCCCCATCCTTTCTTCGCCCCTACCATCATACGTCAGGTGCTGCCTCTGCCCAGGCGCCCCTTGTTGTGATGGCCGAGGAAGGTCCGGGGCCCACGAGGTGCTGCAGTTCACCCTCCCTCTCCACAGCACCACCTGGGGCACTATTTGACTCTGTTGCAAGACAGGAGTAGGGGACAGGGAGAGGCCTGCATCCCTGACCAGAGCCCATGAGGGAAAAGGTGGCACAGAACGGTACCAGCCTCCGTGTGGGGCAAAGGCTGTGGCCTCCCACCCTCCATGTTCTGGGTCTCCGCACAGGAGGAACAGAAGGGAAGTTTCTGTGATCAGTCCTCCCTAGCCAACCGGGGACCTGGTCGTTGCCTCACAGAGAAGGACACAGAGGCCCAGGGTGGCTGGGATGTACGCCCAGGCCCATTGCCCTTCACAATCCTCTCCGCTCAACCTGCCCGTCTTGGGTAATTATGCTGTTTGGATCTAGCTCTTTCTCGGTTTTTGGCACAGAGTCCCCCAGTGAAATCCTTCCTGGGGCCGAGCGTGTGTCAGGCAGCTGAGCCTCTACCGGGCCTGAGCAGAGCCCACCTGGCCAGGCGTTTCCTGGGGTGTTCTACTGTGAGCTTTGTAAAAATGGCCACTTTGAGCCCCCATACCTTGCTGGTGGGCACCAGTGTCATCCCATTTTACAGAGGTGAACACTGAGGCTGAGGGGAGCTGAGCTTCACGCCAAGGCCAAATGAGAAGCAAGTATCCCAGGGACCCCCACGCCTCCCAGCCAAGGCCTGGCCCAGCACCGCCCTGGGCATGGCTGTGCAGCCTCCTGGCCCCCTCTGGCTCCTCTCTGCAGCATTTCCCCGGAAAGTCCTATGTATTTTTGCGGAGCTGGTTCTCTGCCCGGATCACAGCTGCGGTCCTAGCGGTAACTGACTGCTCTCTAATCAAATTGATTTCCATTCCAATGAGTCCCGCCTTCCGCTCCATTCCAGGAATGCTGTTTTAGCAGACGGAGCTCGGTATGAATGCACCATCAAACCGAACAATACAGAGCGCACCGCCGGCCTCTCTGCCGCCCAGTGACAGCTAAATGGCCTGAGCGCTCAGGCCTCATCACTCACTGATGCATTCCCACTCGGGAGCGGCGTACGCTCCTGGCTCATCTGCATCTGACAGGGGGGCTTGGTACGTATTCAGAGAGGGTCAGAGTGATGGGATTTCCTTCCCATCGAGTCCCACCAGAGCCTTGCCTGTCCCCGGCCATTGCCTTCATTCCTGCAGTCCCTGCTGCTCCCCTCGGCTGTGGCCCAGCATGGAGCTGGCTGGCCACTTCCTACTGCCCAGCATGGAGCTGGCTGGCCACCTCCTACTGCATGCTCCAGCCTGGGGCTGAAGGCTGTTGGAGTTTCCACATGGCCAACCCAAGAGTCTGCTCCATGTATGCTGTTTCTGGGTCTGCTTGGACCACTGCCTCGGGGGCACAGGAAGGGGCGGGGGTGCTGATCCTGAGGCTGTGATCGCCTTGGGCCCCGTGGTTCCTGGAGCTTGTGTGGAGGGACAGACCAGAAGCCCCTCAGGGCTGGCAGGGACATTCACATTCAGCCTACTTCAGGTGGGTGAGGAGAGGGGTGGCCTGCCCAAGACCCCAAGACCCCTGCCATTCAGCTCTAGGCCTGGCACCACCACCTGCACGCTCAGGTAGTGCTCCCAGAAGCTGCAGCAACTTGGGGGTGCCTGTGTAGCTGGGGGACCCCCGGGACTATCCAGGCATTCATGGGTGACCACACCTGTGGGTGGGGTGATGGGGGTCTCCGAGTGTCTCCTCCTCTGTCCCATTAGAGGGAGCCCTGAGTTTTAACGCCAATGCAATATCCCCTCAAAGCTTCCCTACTGACCATAGTGGCTCCCAAGCCAGGGACTCCGATGAGAGGCGACCCCCATTCCTCCTCCCCTGGGTGCAAGGAGCTGGAGCTGGGTGGGGTGGGCACACAGAGAACCAGGAGGAGCAGGAGGAAGCTCCACAGGTTCCCCTGGCACTGTCAAGAACCAAGGCCACCAGCCCTGCCGCTCTAGGGAGGCACAGGCACCAGCCCCTCTGTGCTCAGGCCTGGGGACCTTTCTGTCACAGCCACTGTTACAGTGGAGGAGGGATGCTGCCATCAGCTTCCTGCCCTCTGGCCAGCGCCTGGGCTAAGTTGGCATGCTGTGGCTGTGGCAGGCGCAGGATGGCTGTGGGCGTGGGAGTGCAACGGCTGACTGGGATTTGCTACCACGCAGGTCAGAGGAAGCTTTTTTTTAACACGGATCCATCTGGCAAAAAGGGAAACCATTTGAAAACCCGGGTGTTGGTAAGGGGGCGGCATGTGGGCACATCTCCCTCGAGGACTATGGATGCCTCTCAGGTGGGCGGTGAGGATGCCCCCATCCCTGCGCTCCCATGAGCCCAGCAAAGGGAAGCTGAGGAAAGCCCAGAGCACCCCGATCTGGATGAGGCCTGCAGACCACAAATGCCAGACGTAGCCAGTGTGCCATTGCTGCGTGAGGCCGTGCACACCTGGGTCCCTGCATTCTCTGCACATGAGTCTGTGCTGTACGTGCAGGAAGCCAGGTCTCTCCACCGGAGAGTGTGGGCCATCTACAGCTGGGTCTGTGCATACCTGGGTCTGTCTGCAGCTGGGTGCATGCATTCTCTGCATGAGAGTCTGTGCTATAAGAGGAAAAAGCCAAGTTTTTTCACCAGAGAGTGTGGGCCATCCTCTCTGGGCAGGAGGGATGCCCTTACGACCTCACTCTGTGTGGCCAGGATGTTGAATGCAGAGTCCAGGGCCAAGCCAGACCCCCAGAGCCAGATCTGCGAGCTAACAAGATGCCCAGTAAATGTGAGAAGCTCTGTCCCATCTAGAGCCCCTGCCCCCAGCTCAGGATGCCCGCTCTGCCCAGTCTGGACATCCCTGCATCCTGGGCCACAAGGGCAGGTGGGAATGGCACCTGGCAGAGACCCAGTTCCCTTGCTGGTTCGCCTGGCTGTTTGCCTACTGAGGGGTCCCTGCACCCAACCCAAACTCCCCCACCCCTGCCATGGCCCCTCCATGAGGGCTGTGTCCACTGCCAAACAGTGTGTCCAGCCAGCCTACCCCTCACAGGCCACCTGGTGGGACATGCACAGGGCAGGGCTGAATGCCCCCTAGTCCCTCTGTAACAGCAGGATCAGACTGGGCGGTGGGTAAGGGCAGGGCTGGATGCCCCTTCCCCTCTGCCTTCTGTAACAGCAGAGTCAGATCACGCAGTGGATGAGGCCAGGGCTGGATGCCCCCCAGCCCTTCTGCCCTCTGTAACAGCAGAATCAGGCCGGGTGGTGGGTGAAGGCAGGGCTACTCTCTCACAGGCAGCGAGGGAGCCTCCATCTCCTCT